AAAGTCCCAATAATACACACTATATAGGTTGGCAAGATCTATATATATATATATAAAGTCCCAATAAAACATACTACTTAGGCTGGCAAGATCTCCATATATATATATATAAAGTCCAAATAATACATACTATATAGGTTGGCAAGATCTCCATATATATATATAAAGTCCAAATAAAACACACTACTTAGGATGGCAAGATCTCCATATATATAAAGTCCAAATTGTTTGTTTGTTTGGAATTAAGCACAGAGCTACACAATGGGCTATCTGTGCTCTGCCCACCACGGGTATCGAAACCCAGTTTCTAGCGTTGGAAGTCCGCAGACATGCCGCTGTGCCACTGGGGGGCAAAGTCCAAATAAAACATACTACTTAGGTTGGCAAGATCTCCAAAGAACCTCCAAAGGTCATTTATGGCACAGACTAATGTAGACGATGCTTTGTAATTTTAGGAACTTGAGCTCAAGACACAGAACAAGTGTGGAGAGCAATGTTTGTTTGTTCGTGATCAAGCACAATGCTACACAATGGGCTATCTGTACTCTATCCACCACGGGTATCGAAACCCGGTTTCTAGCGTTGTAAGTCCGCGGACATTCCGCTGCGCCACTGAGAGACGGGGAACAATGTATAGATTTACAGAAACTCAAGTCACAATGTAAAAACGATTTGTACAAGCACTAATTTAGTTTTAAGAAACTTTCAATCCTTCACTGAGAAGAATTCCTTAAATTAACTCTGTTGACATCATGTGATGCAAGTATTTTGCGAACAACATTTTCAATGGTCCGCCGCAAAAATTCGCGAATCTTTGCGCACGGAGTGGTAGGCAGATTTACACAAACCGCAAACGAAGAGTTAAATTCTTTTTAAATCACAAAAGTCATAAAATAAACATGGAACACTATTAAATAAGAGTTGTACCCTGATTGAGTAGAATTCCACAGAATCTCCACACATCTTCCATAACAGATTGTTGGTTACCCGTCAGCTGGATGTTATCACCAGAAGACTTGTGAATCAAGAAGCTTACTGCTGTAATAACCACTAAACACAAGACCAGAAATGTCCAAACCTACAAAACAAATCAATACCTATAACTGTGGCAGTTATAATGCAGAACTAACTATTTATATCAAAATGATTTTGACCCTTTCTATGTCTAGCTCTGTGCTATCTGATAACCATGCATCTTGACAATAGCCCTACAACACAGTTTCCATTGTATGGCTATAGTGTCTAAAGCACACCCCTCCTCCCTGATGCTTTCAATAAACATTTTAGTGTACAAAGATAATGATTTACTAGCATCCATTTCATCAATTCAATCATACATAATCCATAGGTGCTGTGCCTGGTGACTTGAACAGTATATCTTTGTACTGAATAGCATGAAAATCTATTTCATTCCCAGTTGCTTAAGGTATGAAACATTTGAACAAATATGTCATAAAGCAAGAAGTTAGGCCCGTTAATAACTGAACATTCTTGGATCTTGGGATTTAGGGTGTATTCCCCAGTGCGTTGTGACAGTTAATTCACAGACAAAGAGTTAAAACAGTTCTATACTAATAACAAAAGTTAAAGATTCACAGTTAACAATACTAATAAACAATATTACATAAACACAATACACAACAATACAACACAAAAGGCAAATGATTGAATGTGGTTTGAAATCTTTGAAGTGCAGGACCAGCAAGAATTAATACTCCTGTTGGTCCATGTGCTCCCCCTTATAAGTTAAACTGAGTAAGATGAAACCACTAAATGAAAATAACTCCAAGTTAAGTGGAGACACTCATTTTAACCTATATAGATATATTAGAATTGTGAAATCTAAGTCCTTACTTGAATTTATGAACAAAACAACGTCACTTAAAGATGACTCTAATAATGATGAAATAAATGCTCCACTAACTATGTTTATGAAACTAACTCCAAAACGTGTTCTCTTACACCGAACATAATACTTCTGAACCTTATGGTGTTCACCATAGACAATGTAAAAGTAAAGAATGAAGCTAAACTTCATTCACAGAAGGTGAACACCTAACGCTGCATAATAACTGTAGGCGCTACTCCCAAAATATAATGACAGAAAGATAGAAACCTGTAGAAAAACACAATTCTAAAGCAAGAACTTTAAAGAGTTCTTGCTGTGTTAAACAAAAGGGAAATGTTGGCTTCTCTTGAGCAAATTAACAGAATAAAAACACACGAAAATCTCCCTAAATGTATGTTAAATTTGTATCAAATCACTGTAATTCTGGTGTAAAAGCTGTGTACATTTACTCTCTCAAGCCCCAACACTGTCTTAAATGTTAATAAATCTTTAAGAATCTGAAAAAAATAGTGATTGGTGCTTGTTAAATCAGCTAGCCAACGGGCAGTGAAGATCAAGGGCGCGTCCACTAGCAACTGTTTCCTGATTCGCTGGCATGAATAACTCAGTTCACTAATTAAAAACAACGTTGTTATTCCCGTAAGAGAATCAGATAAGCAGGCTTCTTAGTTCACCACTTAACCTAGTTCGTCCCATTAAGGAAAGTGAAAGCTAGTAACTTACTTGTATTCCATTTGGGAAACTATGAAAAACAACATAATTTTGAAATTTTAACTTTTTGATTAAAGAGGAGGAAAACATGCAATACTTCCCCCATACTACACACGACTTGTGTTACTTTTCTGAATTGATGCATCTTGATTATTCTGCATGTTGTCTGGAAAACATGGAGAGATTTGGGCCACCTGCCTTTGTGTTCGTGGATTCTTATCTATTACAATATAATATACTTCACTTATAATGTCTAGAGTACAACTTGTTGTAGGTTTCTTTGTAGGTGGTCCTGGTTTCCCAAGCTGATCCATATTTTTTATTTCCAATACCATTAGGAAAATTGATATCCCCATCTTGGGAATTCTAAATTCATGATCTGACATCTTTATTACCTGGGTGTATGAATATTTTATTTGGAAATGGTTGTTACATAATGTTCCTAAAAACAATCAATTTTTTATGACATCTATGAAATATCAAGCAATGTCAAAATGTAGTTCTGATACATACAGTTGTACCATCACTTTATATTAGTTGTGGCTGTCATGTGACTTGTTGATTTGCTTATTCAGAATAATTTTAATATGGTGTATTCAACCCTCTGTATTAACTTAATATTGCTATCAGAAAGATCGAGACTGCTAACACGTGTATTCAATCCTCTGTATTAACTTGGTATCAGAAAGATCGAGACTGCTAACACGTGTATTCAATC